GGGGGGGGGGGGGGGGGGGGACTACCTGATCTGATGTACAGTCAGATCTGATGTGTAAAACTCCAGATGACTGCTAGATGGCCACAGAGATAGATCCTTTTGCTGCTATGTGGTAGTCACTCTTTGTATTTAGTTCCTGCTATTTTGCTTGCAATATGAACTGTAATTAAGTCCTTCCATTATTAAAGTGCCCTGGCAAATTGCTGTAGCTTCAGTTATCTCTGGCTGCGTTCTAACTATTGTTTGCCATAGGAAGGAGAGTCGGAGTGGGGTGATGCAATTGAAGATTCCAACTGTTGAGACCCAGGTTCCAGACTCTGATCCCAGAGGTCATTTGAAGACTTTGGACCAATTGCTATCTCTTAGCCCAGTGTTTCTCAGCCTCTGCAACTTTAAGATGTTGACATGGCTGGCTGGGGAATTCTGGGAGTTGAAGTCCACACATCTTAAAGTTGCTGAGGCTGAGAAACACTGTCTTAGCCCATCCTACCTAACAAAGTTGTTTCCACTGTGGCTGGCTGGGGAATTCTGGGAGTTGAAGTCCACACATCTTAAAGTTGCTGAGGCTGAGAAACACTGTCTTAGCCCATCCTACCTAACAAAGTTGTTTCCACTGTAGAGATAAGCTAATGGGAAATTTCATGTGCAACCATCTGCCCTCTTTGAATTAGGGGTGGGAGGACATGTCCTGAAGAACTGGCACATTGAGGGGCTCTCTTGCAACCATGTTGCAATTCAGTTGCTATTGCTCAGTTAAAGCAACACCCTAAACCATATTTTAGGGGTGTATTGGGTTTTGTATTTGGGGTTTTTATTTCTGTAAGCCACCTGGAGTCACTGTGAGTGAGTTGGGCAGCAATATAAATTGCTTAAATAAATAAAATAAAAAATAAATATTTTAGAGCAGCCTCCCCAACTTGGGGCTTTACAACTTGGAGCTGCAGCTGCCATCATCTCAGTAGCACCGTATGGTTTAGATGTAGGGGGTCTGCAGGATTTTTTTGCTTTGTCAGAATTAAGGACAGAAGCGCTGCATCTTAAGCTCTATCCCATTTGAGGTTGCAAGTGAGATCACAAAGCATGTAGAAAAGAGGGTGGGGCTTGCATCACAGTGCCACAATACTGCTTTCATCACTCTGACCCCCCCAGGCCCCTTCATAGCTGCCATTTAGAGGACCCCGGGGTGGGGAAAAAACCAAGATGAATGAGACTGTTTGGGCCTTGACGTAGAAAACCTCCTCCTCTTCCTGTGCGGTGTATGACTTTCTTTAGTTAGTTACAGTTCAGCAACTTATACAGTTATTGGGAAATATGGTTGGTTTAACCAAATGATCTATAGCAAAACAAATTAGAATTGGAAACTGTGGTTTGATCTTGCCTTGCTTTGGTAAAGCAAAGATGAAACACAGTTTGTCCTTGTCAAAACTAACAATGATGGGTAGTTTGGATTTGAAAGAAGATGCTTTTAGTGGAATGGGCTGGAGAGGGGAAGAAGATGTGCTCGTGTCTGAAGCTTCAGCAGGCGTGTTCACATTGTGCTAAGCTACAGTTTAATGTTGCACTTAAACTGAACCAAGTTGATGATTGCTCTACTAACTTTGTAAGCTATAGCATCACTTCAGACTGTACGAAGTAGAATGACAATTGATGTCTTGATTCTGCTACTTCTCTTCTTGATGCATGTTCTGCCTCTTTATGAACTATGTACAAAATATTTGTGTTGTGTTTCAAACAAAGAGTGATGGCGGCTGGAACAGCCTTGGTTTATGATGGTGAAATGAGCAGCCATAAACTACTTTGGGAAGAGTAAGTACAACTTTCTTTCTTTTTTCTTGTTTAATTTTAGAAGATAAAATTTCATGATAAAAGGGAATTGCAGATACAGGTAGTCTTTGAGTTATGGTGGCAGTTGGGACTGGGATTGCCATCGCTAAGTGATGCGATCGTAAAGCGCAATGTCATGTGATTGCGTTGCTTAGCGACGGCAATCCAGGCAGTCCCGGTTGCTGTCATAACCCCAAGACACACAGGTTGTTAAGCAGAAAGTGGCGGGAGTCCCAGGTAAGAAGTGTGGGGTTGCCGCAGGGGGGTGGAGGAGGCCTGGACAGGCCATGCGCAAGTTGGTGGAGGGGGGTGCTGTGGGCACAGGTGTGTGCGTGCGAGCACAGGGAGGCCCAGGGAAGGAGAGCATGTGTGATGTGCAGGAAGGCAAGGGGGGGCATACCAGAGTGACTTGCAACCTTCCCTGCCAGCTTCCCCATTGGCTTTGCTTGTGGGAAGCCAGCAGGGAAGGCTATAAATGGTGATCACGTGACTGCAGGATGCTGCAACTGTTCTAAGTGAGAGCCAGTTGCCAAGTGCCCGAATCGCGATCACATGACCGTGGGGGCATTTCAACGGCTGGAACTTTGAGGATTAGTTCTAAGTACCCCTCATTCAGCACCATCACAACTTTGAACGGTCACTGAATGAGTGGTTGGTAAGTGAGGACTACCTGTATGTGGGTTTAATTCAGAGAAGAGAGAGAAGAATGCCAAACTATTACAGAAAAGATACTTGAGTCCTGGGAAAATAGAAAGAAAGTCAAAACAATTCCACCTTGATTCTGTTAGGTATACTGTAAGTTGAAGTGGAGAGAGCCCTGTCAGGCTTTCAAGATTCTGTTGTAATAACCTAACCCAGTGATCGCAAACCTATGACACGTGTGTTAAAGGTGCCATGCCACAACATTTTGGGTGACATGCCACCTAACAACAATTATTCTCCCTGTTTGAGTTATCACAGAAACTGAGTTTGTTTTATTTGTATTTCATTTTTGTAATTATTTGACGCTTCTTTATATAATACATAGCACCACACATCATCAGACTGTATTTTTTTAAAATAAATAAATATGTAAATAATTGTTTCCCTTTAGTTTGGGGGGGAGGTGTGACACACCAGCAGAGTCAGGTTAGGTATTTTCCAAATTTTAGACACGCCGAGCCCAAAAGGTTTGCCATCACTGCCCTAACCACATTCCAAGACTCCTAGCAGTTCCTGTTTCCTGACCTTGCCGACCTTGATGGGCTAACATCAATCTTGCAAGCCTGTCAAAGATCCTCTCTACTTCAATTTTTATCTAACCCAATTAACCTGAAATTGTTCTGTGTTTCTTTCTCACACTTTCTACTTTCCCAGGACTGATACCTTTGCTGCAGTTAGGTGAAGATGGAAAAAAGAGAGGAGGCTTTTGCATTCCTTTAAAGGATTTGAAAGAGAAACAAAATAAAGTACAGCAAGTAGAGCCTATGTTACTCTTGGTGGTTAAACGCATGTGATGATTTGAACACAGCCTATTTCACCTACACTCAAAATAAGATGCTTTGGGATGTGGCTGTTGCATTGACTGCCTGTCTTTGACAAAGATTTCCTTGACTTGAGCTACATGGACCCAGTCATGTGATCTTCTTGGCAGGAATACAGAAGTGGCTTCTCACCGCCTCCTTCTGGGGTGTCTTTTTAACATCTCAGTCTAGCCTAGGATTTCCTGGTGGTTTCCCATCCAAATACAAATTATATTTCTTTCCTTAGTCCCTGTAAGTAACCAGGATGTAACATGGTTGGAGGAAGTTGAAGAGAATCTAACATCTGATGGTCTGCCTCCCACTTTTTTTCTCTTTGGGGGAGCACAATGACACCCTTTCTGCTGTTAGGCAAAGAATAATGTTTTGTGATTGGCAGACAATTTCTCCCCAATGTTTTTTTTTTAGAAACATTGATCAGTCAGTTAAATATTTATCTGATGTATCGATTCCAAAGTTCCATAGAACTTTCTTATTAACACATCTCAATGTGGTCCCTACAGCTGTGCTCCAGGAAAAAGTTAACAATATATATGTGGTTCTGGGAGGTGGAGACACTCTCACATTTTTTATCTACGCAGACTAGAATTCTTTTTATAAATAGACCCAGAGACTCTTCCTAGCCTTTGCTGCTAGCTACCCAGTTATTACTTACCAGGTGGCCAAATTCTGCGCCGCAGCCTGTAAGATGAGATCAGAAGGCAATATGGGAACATTGCTTAACTGATTACAATCTGTTCTTGTGTTATCCTGTTACTGATTGGTGTGGTTACATGATTTAAGTTTATTGTACCATCGGAAAATTTTATTTATTCAGTGTTTATTTGTAAGGTTTTACTCCTTTTATGATGCATGTTGTTGATGTACATGCTCCTACTGAATATGCTTATTCATTTTATGAAGCTGGTCTATGACTGTAGTAAACATTAACAAATGAATTCTTAATTCCACCCAGAACTGACTCTGCTTAGCTTTCTTCAATATCAGTTAGGTGCTGCCACCTGGTGTGTCATCCTGGTTATTACAAGGATGTTTAATCCTTGCAGGATGTTGACTTCCCTGCAACCCTGGGATTTTCTGCTCACCCAAAAAAGTAGTGGCTAGGTCCCTGATTAGCTTTTTTGGAGGTCAGCCAGGTTGGCTAGATGGTGCCAATGTGCTATGGCACATGTGCAGATTTTATACATGTATTAAATGTACTAATCAGCAAAACTGCTGTTTGAGGGACATACCTTGACAGTGGTACTCCATGGGTGTCTGTGCTTTTGTTTTTTCAAAATTTGCTAAATGGTTTTCATGATGAAAACCCTGCCCCTTTTGTATGGTTGTGCATTGTTGCTGCATGTGGAAAAGGGGTGGGCTTTGATCGCAACACTCCTCCTGCCATCTTGCAAATGTTGACACACGCACCCCTGCTGTGGATACTACTGCATGCTGCAGAAATGAAAGGAAATCTGGCCTTGATCCTGTCTTAGTCCATTGTAGCATGGCAGAATTAATTGCCTTGCCCTTAACAACCAAGGTAGGGCTCTTAATGGGGGCCTCTTTATACTTGGGCATCATTCAAACCCTCAGTTTTAAAGGGTTTGTTTTAGTTAATATCTGAGGCAGTTCATTATCAACAGTAAAGAACACATTCCAATGAATATTGTTTATTTTCTCTTTCTAGTAAAGAAAAAAATTCTTCTTTCTCAGCTGTAACACAAATGGTTTCTTGATGATTTCACTGGAAAACTAAATGTTGGTCTCATTTTTAGCCCAGTCTGTGATATAGAAGTCCCTGAACGGCTTTCTTCCTGCTATGACCGCCTTCAGCACTATAACCTGGTTGAACGATGCATTTCTGTCTCTGCCAGAGAAGGAACTGACAGTGAAATCATGCTGATTCATAGGTATGCTCCTCTGGCATTGTCTTTCCACCCCACCCTATGTTAGAGAAATAATGGGGAAAAAATTAAGTGTCATGTTTCTTTTACACTTTACAGATATATTTTGTTTTCATAAAGTCCAAGTTAATACCTAACCCCCTACATGGGGAAATCCCCAATTGCACTCTCTGAAATACCCTAAAAGTGTATCACTAAAGTCTGGTGACAAAATAGCCTATGTTAAATGATATGATTTTTAGCACCTGTGGTGTCATGTATATACTGATGTCATTGTCCAAATGGCACATTCCAATAATTGTGCCATTTTTGTGGTGCCATCATGACATCAGTTGCACTGCTCGAGGACACCCATAGGAACAAGTGCGCAAAGCATTCCCACCTGTAAACTCACTCCATATAAATAAAAAACAGGGAGAATCTTTTCTAGTCCACACCATTGGAAGGCATTTGGCAGTTCACTGGATGGTCAGGAGATGATAAATGGCCCATTGGCTCAGATGCTGCCCCCAAAAACATTGCAAAGAGAGTTTTGAGTATTACAATTTACAGTGTAGAGTTTTTCATTGAAAAGGCTCCTTGGAAGAGAGAAAACATAAAGAACTTATTTCCTTCTCTCTCAGCATCTTTATCGCCAGTGGGCACAATTACCCCAGAAAGCAACAATATGACAATTGAATCAAAGTTTGAATAATGTTTATTGAATCAAAACTTGAATACAGTTGTCCCTTTAATTACATTTTTTGGTCCCAGCACAACTAATTAGAGGTACTAATTGCTGATCAACAAGATCTTCCCAATTAATGTAAGCAGAGAAGTTATCTGAATTAGCAATTAGATAGTTATCAAAAGTTGCCTTGTAGTGTTTTAATTCCAGAAAGATTTCCCAGTGTAGAATAGATTGCGGGAGAAGAATCGGGCAAAAAGCTGCGAACAAAATATCAGGTTATAAATAAAGACGCTTTTACACTCTACAGGCCTACTCTTATACACTTCATACACTTTTCCCAGCTTATGCACGAAGAGCCCCTCTTTATCTCTTGCTTTATAACCTGGAAGTCTTGGACTCTGTTTTTCATCAATCTTGATGTGGAACATTGTTACAATTTAGAAGACAATTTGAGGGGGAGAAGGCTCCTGCTGTTGAGCGATTCTTGATCATGGAAGTTCATGTCTAGAATCTTAGTATTTTTATTTGATCTGGTCTTTCACGGATCATTGTTTTAATCCACCCTCATATGTTGTTGTGGTCCAGATGGACTGTATGTTCTTTATTAGACTGAGAATTCATCATACGGTTCATTAAGCTCATTATCCACCATGATAACTAGAAAAGGTCATTTTCTGGGCAAGTCGTAAAGAGGTTCAGAAGTGGATTCTCTCTGGTTCAGCTAACCCTTGATTTCTGTATGCTTAAATTACCCTTCTGATGAGATTTCTCTTGGCTTCTGGGACCTCTCCCCTGCTTCCTTTAGCTGTGGCCCCATGCCATCACCCCCTCCCCATCTCCAACTGCTCCCAGCTTTTCAACTCCCCACCGTTTCTTAGCATCAACACTGATGTAAATATAACTACGCACTCACATTAATCCACAAAGAAAAAGAAAAAGGGAGTATGTGTTTGAACAGAAAAGGGGATGAGTTCAAGGCTGGTATTCATTCTCTGTCTCTTACTCTTAGGAGATTTATTGTTGCCCTGGGCTGAGCCACAGTAAGGAATGAAGTATCAGTAAGAGTTGTTCTTATGCTCTATTGGATTACTAAGTTCAATGCCTCCTAGATTTAGTGTTCTCAACTAAAAAAAAAAAAAAAA